TGCAGAGAGACACAGGATTGGCTGCGGCCAGGTGGTCCAATATGTCTGCGCCCTAATCCGACGCCACACCACACCACACCTGGACTGGGCCGAACATTGAACATGTCGTCAATGCACAATGTAGAAACTCTTAGAACGAAGGTAGGTCTGAATTATCTGACTTTTGCTAAAAATGATTTTGTTAAGTTTTATTTTGTAACCTAGTTTTACCAACAATGTGGTTTTTCTTTAAAGTGGCTGTCCTACTAGTAGTAGTTTTTTCGTTTATGTATTATTGAAACTGGCAAATATTTTAACTTTTTTCCGAGTAGCTCATGTGCTTTTGGGAATGTATTAGCAATTGGTTTGTTTTTAACCACCAAACAAAAAAATTGCCTTAGACTTGCACAATCGCTTCCACCTTGACTATTCGTTTCAGTTTTCCTATAAGCTGAAGTATATTTTGTGATGTTTTTGGAAATGCTATAGTTTTAATGTCAACTTTTCTGATATTCTTGCAGTTCTATTTTTGTTTAGCGACTTTGGACTTTGATTATGTGCTGATTGTTTTTAATTCACATTTTAGATTAAACGCTCCTTAGACGATCGAAAAGGTAAGCATCATAAGGCAGAAAGCCAAATTATTTTTGGCACATTCAGAATTTATTTACTTGCCATTTTATGCTCATTTCTCTCGTCTGACAAAATACCATCACTTTAATATTGTTTGTTGCATTCAAGGTGTAATTTTTACCTCTTCATTGTTTGAATTAGAGTCTTGATTTGTTAAAAGGCTTATGTATATTGCGCAGATCCGCCGTCAGAGGCAAAGCGCTCGAAGCGCTCTAAAGGCAAAACCAGTGACAACCAACCAAAGTCAAACGCTGATTTGCGTGGAATTGCAACTAGAATTCTCCTGAAAGGCCTACCTTCAAAAGTCAAATATGCGCATTTCAAAAAATCTCTTCCTGTTACGCCGAAGAATATCACCTTAGCGAAGAAGTCTGGCCATAGGCGAGCCGTCCTCACCTTCGCCAGTGCAGCTGACTGCTCAGCGGCCTTCGATGCGTTCCAGACCTTTATTTATGAAGGTCACTCAGTATGTCGTCCTTTGTCAGCATAACATGATTCATATAAAAACCTGCATTTTCCGATAATTTTATGGACCTGAGTTATTAAGTTGTTGTCATTTGATTTCGTCTAATTATTCCCTTGGGTGTACCAGTTTCGTTTAGCACCCATGTATGCCACCTAGTTGGTTCTTTTGAATTAGTTAATCGGACGTGCTATTTAGTAGTACAATTGTCTTCCTCGTGTACATCTTTGCTCCAACCCCGGCTGCGTTGGGTCACGGCTTGGGTGATTGGCTCGACTTCTTGTATTAGAATAAATGTCGCATTAACTATCGCCTGTCCCCACCATATTCGTACTGTTGGATGTCAGTATATCAGCATTAATCTCTTCTAAGTCGCGAAACTGTGGGAACCTGACTCATTTTAGTTCCTGAAATAATCACGTTGAACCCTAGGCACTTTCCTCGTTTTCTTCAATCAATGCTTGGCCATCCACAATGGTAATCACTCTAGTCCACGAAGACTTTAAAATGCGAGATAGTCGAATGTTTTGACTTTGCCTTTCCTTTAAAGAAAGCCTGAGGTAGAATTGTTACTCAACATTCGGTAATTCTTACATGCTGATTCAAGGGAATCTTTCTGTAGCGTTTGTCTGGTTTATATTGTTTAAGTGTTTAAAAGGCATCATTGTAGACCTTTCATGAGTCTGTAACGCTGTGTTTTTTGTGATTACTTGTCGCCTGCATCAGGCGACCCAGGCTGTTTTGCCGATTAGTTAAGATTTTGGCTCGTATCCTATCCACAAATCTCACCCCACCTTATTCTCGTGTGTTAGCTGGTTCCCGCGTTTGTACGACAACGCGCTACTGCTGTCAAAGCCTCCATTGTTAAGAGCAAGTCGGTCGCATTCTTCCTCGACATTACAAACATTCCCCTCTCCACCACTATTGAAGAACTGAAAGAGGCCTTCCCCAAAGCCGTTAACATTCTCATGCGAAGTCGCAAAGATGGCAAATTTAAAGGGTACGTTTTAGCCTACTAACTTTTCATTAAGTAAACACATTATTAGAACAAAGTAACATGGCAATCGGGTCTCAGTGCACTTTGGTAATGATTTAAACAAAATAGGATTTTCGGTTGATGTCTACGTCGTGTGTCGTGTAATGAAATCACCCCCAAGTAAGCTGTTTCTGCCAGAGTAATGTCGACCGAGTTTTCGTTTGATCGACGAAGGTGCAAGTAGTTCTTAAGACCAAGTGGAATTCTCCAAGGAGCATGCAGTCATCAAGCGATTTATCCCGTCAGAATGTGGGGAGCAAAGACGATTTGTGTTTTGCAAATTGCAGCAGTATACCTTCGAACTAGCCACAATCCTGGCCTGGCCGGATACTGCGCAATTTTATTCAAACCAACACACCGGTTCCGTCTTACTATTGGCCGTTTTATTGTAAACGTTACAGAAAGCACATTGCATAAATTCGAATCTGATGGCGAGGCATTTTGGCTATTTTTTTCATTGTGAACGTTGTTGTCAACTGGCGATCTCCATTTCCAGTCAGTTCTATGTCTGGTTATGCTAAATTAAATGTTAACTTGGGACTCCCAGCCATGCCTCTCTCGGCCCTCTTGCATTCCCTCTTTTCTATGCAAGCCCAAATCACTGTGGCAGAGTAAATGGCCGTGGTGTGTGATTTCTGCTAGTAACTAGTCGGCACTCGGGAAATCTGGCACAGTTGGCCTATCA